TCTGCTCTAATTTTTATTATTTCTCTCCTGCTGACTTTGGGCTTTCTTTGTTCTTCTTTTTCTAGTTCTGTTAGGTGTAGTTTAAGGTTGCTTATTTGGGATTTTTCTTGTTTGTTAAGGTGGGCCTGTATTGCTATGAGTTTCCCTCTCAGGACCACTTTTGCTGCATCCCATATGAGTTGGTATGACATTTTCATTTTCATTTGTCTCTAGATATTTTTTTATTTCTCCTTCGATTGCATCAGTGATCCATTGGTTGGTCAGTAGCATGTTTAGTCTCCACATCTTTGTCGCTTTACCAGTTATTTTCTTGTAGTTGATTTCTAGTTTTATAGCGTCATGGTCAGAAAAGATGCTTGTTATGATTTCAATCTTCTTAAATTTATAGAGGCTTGCCTTGTTTCCCAGCATATGGTCTATCCTTGAGAACGTTCCATGCGCACTTGAGAAGAAGAAGAATCTGCTGTGTTTGGATGGAGTGCTCTGTATATGTCTGTTAAGTCCATCTCGTCTAGTTTTTCATTTAATTCCACTATTTCTTTATTGACTTTTTGTCTGGATGATCTATCCCTTGATGTAAGTGGGGTGTTAAGATCCCCTACTGTTATTGTGTTGTTAATATCTCCTTTTAGGTTTGTCAATAGTTGCTTTATGTACTTCGGTGCTCCTGTTTGGGGTGCATATATATTTATAATTGATATGTCTTCTTGGTGGAGTGTCCCTTTTATCATTATATATTGCCCCTCTTTGTCTCTCATTACCTGTTTCATCTTGAAGTCTACTTTGTTTGATATAAGTATGGCAACACCTGCTTTCTTTTGTTTGCCATTAGCTTGGAGTATTGTCTTCCATCCTTTCACTCTGAGCCTGTGTTTGTCTTTAGAGCTGAGGTATGTTTCCCGGAGGCAGCATATCGTTGGGTCTTGCTTTTTAATCCATCCAGCCACTCTGTGTCTTTTGATTGGAGAATTCAATCCATTTACATAGAGTGATTATTGATATATGAGGGCTTAATGTTGCTACTTTTTTGCTCATTTTCCAGTTCTTTTGCATTTCCTTTGTTTCTCATCCCATGTGTTTCAGACTACCAATTCAGTTTAGTATGATGACTCTTTTAGTTTTCTCTTTATTCATCATATGTGACTCTGTTCTGATTATTTGTTTAGTGGTTACCTTGAAGTTTGTATGAAAAATCTCACGGATGAGATAGTCCATTATCTGATGACCTCTTATTTCCTTAGACTAAGTTGATTCGATCCCTTTCCTCTCCCCCTTCTAAGTCATTATTGTCACAACTCAGTCCATCTTGTGTTGTGAGTGTGTGTTTAAAGTGATGAGGTTATAATTTATTTTTAGTGTTTTCCTTCCCTTAAATCTTTGGTTTTTGTAACTGTTTGCTAACCTATTCTGATAAGAGAGCTGCAATTTTTCTGATTTTGTCTACCTGTTTTTCTCCTTGCTCAAAGCTTTGCATCCACTTTCTTTCTTTTTTTTTCAGGCATGAGGGCCTTCTTGAGCATTTCTTGTAGTGGGGGGGGTCTCGTGGCCATGAACTCCCTTAGCTTTTGTTTATCTGGGAAAGTTATTATTTCTCCATCATGTTTGAAGGATATTTTCACTGGATAGAGTATTCTTGGCTGAAAGTTTTTGTCTTTCAGAATTTTGAACATATCATTCCAGTCTCTCCTAGCCTGTAAAGTTTCTGTTGAGAAATCTGCTGAGAGCCTGATGGGAATTCCTTTGTACGTTATTATTTTTTTTTTGTCTAGCTGCTCTTAATATTGTTTCTTTGTCATTGACTTTTGCCAGCTTTACTACTGTGTGCTTTGGAGAGGTTCTTTCCATGTTGATATATTTAGGCAATCTGTTGGCTTCATTCACTGGTATTTCCAGCTCCTGCCCCAGATTTGGGACATTCTTAGCTGTTATTTGCTTGAACAAGCTCTGTGTTCCTTTTTGTCTCTCTTGTCCCTCAGGAATACCTATAATCCTTACGTTGCATTTCCTAATTGTGTCAGATATTTCTCTGAGAATTTCTTCATTTCTTTTTAGTCTTAGTTCTCTCTGCTCCTCTATCTGGAGCATTTCTGCATTCCTATCCTCAATAATGCTAATTCTTTCCTCCATATTGTCAGCTCTGTTCTTTAAAGATTCCAGATTTTCCTTTATATCCTCCATTGTGTTTTTCATCTCCAACAAATACTGATTGGTTTTTCTTTATGGTTTTTTGTGAAGAAATTCCTGATATCGTTGATTTGTTGTTCTGTGTTTTCTTGTAATTCATTGAGCTTTTTTATGATAGCTATTTTGAATTCTCTGTCGTTTAGGTTGTACATTTCTGAGCCTTCAGGGTTGATTTCTGAGTTCTTGTTATTTTCCTTCTGATCTAGAGATTTAATATATTTTTGCATCCTGCCTGCTTATGTTGGCTTGTTTTTCTTCACCCTAAAAAATATCTGGTCACAGTTTCCACCTGCTGCCACTGGGTGGGGGTCAAGGGCTGTGTATTCTGAGCCTGCTGTGCTCTGTGGGTGCTCTGGCTGAGCAATTGTTCTGAAGCACTGGGTGTGTGGGGTGGGGAGGGGTTCTCTCTTTTGCCTGCCCGATCCCAGGGGCCTTTTCATTCTTCCCTCACTGTCTGCTCTCCTGGGGTGCTCAGATGTTGACGGCACCACCGCAACAGTTCCATCTCCTCCATATGGGATTTTCCCACAGGCTGTGAGAGGACTTACAGAGCGACGGTTTTCCTGCAGAGGGCCGCCCCTCACCCCTCTCTCTCTGGGAGCCACAGGGACCCAGAGTCACCAATGGAAAGGGGAGGGGGAGGATTTCTCCTTACCTCTCCCCACTTCTTCGGGGGTTCCAGCACCTTCACCCTGAGATGTGCAGCTGCGTGGGTCTCTCACACGTTTTTTGTGTTATGTGAGTGTCCTTTGTTGGTATGCAAATGTCATTTTTGTTGTATCTTATTCAAGGAGAGTTTATGGGGAAAGCTCATTCAGCCATGATGCTGACATCCGATTTTTCTTTTTTTTTTAATTACCATAGCATGGCAAAAGGAGCCAAGCCTGTAGTCAGAAAATTTGGGTTTGAATATTGGTTCTGTTCCTTCTTGACTGTAGGACTTTGGAGAAGTCAGTTAACCTCAGTTTCCTCAAAATGTGAATGGTATGAACTGAAAAGCACTATATATACTTCAGGATTATGGCAGTTACAAACATGAGCACTGTCAAGAAAAGGAAGACTATGAACTGAGTATCCACCTCATTAATAACTAAGACATTATTTCTGATGCTGAATTGTACTCACTGTGTCATGAAACATATAATAAGAACACATTATTTATTCTTTTACTGAATCCCTGGGCCTCCCGCCTTCATACTGCTCTCTGCCTTGGTCCTGGCTGGATATGACATTTACCAGTTCACTTGTCACATCTGGACCCCAAACCAGGAACCTTGGACAGTTTAGCATGGGCTGTGCAATATTCTATCTAGACTTTGTGATATAAGGCAACACTGGCATACTAACAGCAGAAAACTGAAAGAGGGCACGGATAAGTTACAAAGAAAGAGGAATAGAGTAATGAAAGCCTCAATATTCATGTTACCTGGAACCAGGGAGACAGAGTAGAACATGATAATAGCATGACTTTCAGGCCATCTTCTTTCATGTTGCTGAAGGACTTTACCACGTATTTCAGTTTCTCTGTAATAAGTTTTCCATTTAATCTCTGTCACCATGTTATTTTATCCAAGAAGGTTTGTGTTTATTCCTCCTGCTCTGCCAGAAACATCCAAAGAAGGCTACTGAGCTCAGTTCTCTTTCTCTACTTATCTTAAAGCTATTCCCACTAGGTTATTCTTTTTTTTTTTTTGGTGAGGAAGATTAGCCCTGAGCCAACATCTGTTGCCATTCCTCCTCTTTTTGCTGAGGAAGATTGGCCCTGGGCTAACATCCATGCCCATCTTCCTCTACTCTATATGTGGGACGCCTGCCACAGCATGGCTTGATAAGCGGTGTTTAGATACATCCCCAGGATTCGAACCTGCAAACCCTGGGCCGCCGAAGCGGGACACATGAACCTAACCACTATGCCACTGGGCCCACTAGGTTATTCTTAAGTTAAAGAAGCACAAATATCTCTGCTAAAGCTTTTCATAATGGGATAACCCCAGTATCACCTCCAATGCTTTTATCTGTCATACAGTCCCAATAATAATACACATTATTGGTAGAAAGGTTTGCATTACATTTTCATTTTATTTTGTGATTTCAAATCCTTTCAAATAGAAAATATATAATGAGAGTACCTAAAATGCTCAAGAATGTTGCTGTGCTACTACTCACTGCAGAATTATATGTAATTATTCCTACTCAATCAGTGGAATCCTATATATGGAATCATGAATGTTTGTGATACTAAATTGGCATAGGATGGAATGATTTTTGCATGGATAATTTTCACACTATGCCAAAGTTATTTAGTCTAGCTGCCAAATAACCCTTCTCTCTCAGGATGGTTCGTTTTACTTTTCTTATTCTGAAGATGAACATCTAAGTCCAAAGACCTTAGGAAAACATTATTCCTACTGCTAAATCAAACCCAGTACCATTGTCCCTGGTAATGAGTGAGTTTTAAGTGAGTGAATGATCTCTTATGCAAGGTGAATTTAATCATTGGCTATGAGTATACACCCAACTAATCTAGAAAGCCAGCTTCTAGATTTCCATTCATTACATTTTGAGTTTCATTGCAAGTTCATTGAAGTAAACAAATGTTGGTTTGTTTCCCCACAACAGTGGATCCTTGCGAAGCTAGAAGAAGCAAGAGAACCTTCCCCAAGCCTCTGATGGAAAACACTGCCTGAAGACACACAGCAATAAATCATTACAGTTTGCACTTTGGTACCTTCCAAAACCTGTTAGGGATCTATAGAACAGAAGTATTTCAAGTACTAAAAAAAAAAAAATCAGTTAGAATCAGGTAAAATAGCTATGTGATTAAAATATTTCAACTCTTTGGGGATCTATTTGGTTTTCTAACTTGAATCATGCATCTGGTTAAAATTCTAATTACCTTATAAAAGAAACATTTCTTTTATGAATCTTAAATATTTGCTCTAGGTGATTCTCTGCAGTGCTGGAGGAGTTGCCCATATTTAGCCTTCACATGGAGCTAAGTTTAATGTTCCTAGTTTACATTTTAAACTTCTATCATGCTTACTTCAAACTCTCTGAATGAGTGACAGATAAATGATCAAATCAGACATTGCCTCAGTGGTATCAAGAGAACTTCAGTGGTGGTTTCTTTAGAAACATGAAGTTCTTTTTACAGACAAATATTTTGGTATTATTTTCCTTATTTTTTTAAAATAAAGGATAGGTTTTAACTATACTTCAAATGCAAAGCATGACTATGAAAAACAATCTTTTTTATATAATATAATATATATTGAATAATACTCCTTCAAGCTTCCTCTTACAAAAGGCTTGAAGAAATGAGTGGCATACATAAAAATGGAAAGCCCTCTTAGAACTTTTGAAGCCTTAGAAATATTTCCTCAAGCCAACTCCATTGGATCTACTTGGTTTACCCAGGTCATGTTTTTAATAGATTGCTTGACTTTAAAGGAAAATTCCTGAAGCCTTAACAATACCAACTTTCCATTCACTGGTAATATGAAATAAACAAAATTCCCACCATCTTAGATATGAGTTATGTTTCTGAACAGACAGCCCCTCTCACAGGTAAATGTATGTACCCTAAAATCTAACCCAGTAAGCTGTCCTGTTTGCAATAGATTGAGAATTTCTAATTTGCTTTCTCTACAGTTATTCTAATGAGAATCACTCTTTTAAATATATAGCTCATCAGAACAAAAATCATGGTCTGCATATTAGTAAAAATAAGGTCATGGGTTTTGTTTTTTTTCTTGGTTTTTGTCCAAGATCCTTGTACCTCAATATTAATTGACTTTTTCAAGTGGAGGGGGATGAATATATGATTGTGAACCATGAAGAGAATGATGCAGTGTCTCATTTAGTTATTGAATAATACAGAGTATTTGATGCATGTTGTATGTGCTGCCAAATTATTATAAACTTTTTGGAATTGGAGACTGTATAGTCAATGGTTGTGAAATTCTCCTCAGGCTCCTCAAACCCTTGCTTTGTTGTAAAAGCTAAAATAAACAGCATGCCAGACTGTAATTGTATTTCTTCCTGACCATGTCCTGCTACTAAATACTATTGATTTTCCTGATTATAAAAACACTTTGTTTATTATCAGTAGTTTCCCCCAGAATGTTTTTTTCTTTGCTGAACATAAATTGAGTCAAAAGATGACAAATTTCAAATCACATGGTAGTGCGTACTCCTATGATGACCTTTGTTCAAAGTAGCATATGCCTTTTCTCTGTTGCTGAGCTCCTCCAATTTTGCATACATCAGAATTCAACCTAAGAGTAGAGTAGTCAGAAAACTTCCATCAGATTGTCCTCATCCGAAATGTTGCTTTACTGGAGTTCTATTCAGTACCGTTAGCTAAGTACCTCATTACCTACTCCAGTTTCATGATTTCATTCTCAGAAAAAATACAGATCCATAACTCCTTGAGTGTCCCATGGTAAAGGGGAAAAGCCTAAAAGAGGAAACATGGAAATTCTTCTGGTATCTTCTGGAACTGCAGGAGTGGGTTTTGTAACTAGTACACATGTAAAGCCAGTGTGCCTATCCTCCTGTTCCCTTACCAATAAGAACCTAGAAGTATCTTTTCTTCTTTCTTTACCACTCATCTACCCATCAACACCTCCCATCACTTTCTCTGTTTCTAGAGTAGAAAGACCCACAATTTCAAGAGCAGTGGTTTATCAATTGTCTTCATCTAAACAAAGAACATCAGTAGATCACTAGATAATGTCAGTCTTTTTAGCATAACATTTTACAATTTACAATTATGCGTTTGATTCTATATTCTTTTTTTCTGCATCCATAATCTTATCTTATTTGAAAACAATCTGCCCTGAATTATATTTAACTACATTTAATGGCTCTCTGCTTCAGAACTTTAAACTTGTCTTAGTTGTTTGGTTATTGCTATGGGATGAGGTCCTCAGTACTGTGTCCTCTTTTGTATTATTTGTTAGCTATAGCCCCAGCCCCTTAATTCTAACACAGCCTGTATTCTGGTCTGTGATCATTGCGTGAAGCCCAAGGGAGAGTGTCTGTGCCCTGCCAACTCTCCTCCATAGAACTATGATCATTAGAAATAGCAACATTGATTTCTGATACAAAAAGAAGCTTGTGATTTCTTCACATTTACAAAATACTGTCTAAACCAAAGAGCGTGTACACTTCTCCAGTGGCTTCGTGATTATAGCATACGTCTTTGCTGCTGCTTCCCTGGTGTTAGCAAGACCTTGGGATTTTTCCCAGGATCAGCTTAGTACAAATAATCATTACCAGCTCGAGGCAGTTCTTCCCTGGCCCTCTCTCTCCTCCATAATCCTTATTCATCCCAAAACTATCCTGTGGGCTCCAAATAAATAATAAATTTTTCTTAAATTTATATTATCTTTCCTGTCATAATTATCTCTCTAATTTTTTCTGATGGTAGTAGCAATAATATTATCCCAGTGAATATATATGCACCTAGCTCGTGTCTTAGAAATATTCTGCAAGGTAGTATCCTATTTCTGTCTGGTAATAAATAACGCTTCTACTCAGTGCTAAATTTTCTGCACCTTAGTGATTCAGTCATCAATTGCCAGTGTTAGTGGATCCTTCAGGCCAAATCAAGGCCCCAGGATTAGAAAGATTGGGACAAGGTACTGGGTTACCTTTGCCTGTAGGAGCTGAAAGTGTGTACTGAATACACTAAAGGTGGAAGTAGCTGTTCTGGACTGGGTGTTTTCCTGCCCCAGCCAACACAATTCAGAGAAAACCGTTTGGGTTCCAGGGCCATTGCTTTTTACCTTTTCTCACGATCAACCAAAATCTTCAAGGACAGTGTTTTTCAAACTGTAGGTCCTAACCCATTAGTGGGCAATGAAATCAATTTAACAACTCAAGACCAGCATACTTTAAAAGTGGAATAGAAAAGAAAATGAAAGCATTTCATGTAACAAAGTTAAATATTGTTTCCTGAAATATTGTTTCAGTTAAATACTCTATATACTGTGTGTACTGGGTCACAATATAAAATATTATTTCAGGGCCGGCCCCATGGCTTAGCGGTTAAGTGTGTGCGCTCCGATGCAGGCTGCCCGGGTTCGGATCCCGGACGCGCACAGACGCACTGCTTCTCCGGCCATGCTGAGGCCGCGTCCCACATACAGCAACTAGAAGAATGTGCAACTATGACTTACAACTATCGCTTGGGGCTTTAGGGGAAAAAAAAAATATATATATATTATTTCATATTAGGAATTGCAGTTAAAAAAAAAAAAAAAAAAACCTTGACAGCTACTGCTGTAGGAGGCGTGGGCCCTCCAGTGTTATTGGAACAATCTGGATTGAGTGGAGCCTGACCTTAGATAAGGAGCAGCAGATCCACAGCTTAGGGAGTCTTCATATTATGAGGACTATATTTTTCTTTGGAGTCAGAAAATAGGATAGCTCTTATTTTGGTTTATAAAATGTTTTCCTTTCCTAGTGTGTACCAGATACCCTCAGATACCTGTTTATGAGTTCCCACTGACAGCTGGCATCAGTGGGACCAGAAAAAACATAGAAAAATTAGATCCACAAACAGGACCCAAAAAAGACCACAGGATATCATTTAACTAGATGTATTTCAATCTCTCTCCTACTGATAAGCATTTTTCTAGGATTGGGGACAGAAATACTCCTTTTAAGTAAATTGAATTTGCTCCATCTACCCTCTGTCTGATTCATCATTCAGATATCAAAGGCCCTTGAAAATAGGGAGCTTATACATTCACATTCTCGTAGGGCCAAAATATTTAATCTCTGGAGGGTGCTATACAAATGTCAATACAGTTTAGTCAAAAATAATTGAATTTCTTCATTTCTGTAGGATTCAAGTAGAAAATGTAGATAACCTATATTCATTATGCAAGATTCAATACAAACTTTATTCAATTTGATTTTCTTTGGTGCTACCCAGTATCACTTATAGCTCCTTTAATGCTCTAAAAGGGGACCTTTCACCCTCCTACCCAATTCTTTGAAATATACTTTTGAAATTATACCTTACTGCTAATGCTAACCTAGTCAAGTTAACATTAATCAGTCAAAATTTTTATGATTCTTATAATCTATACTTTTGATCATTGGCCAATATAGCTATCAGTGCAGACTTTTTGTCATACTTCTTTTCTTTCCGCCACACGTGGTCTAAAGTAGTACTTGTTTCAGGGCTATCCTAAAAGCAGGCCAGCACAGAGACTGAGAAGATGCTGGATCTACTCTCTTACAAACCTCTTTCATGTTTCTTTAAGTGAAACCTTTGTTTTTTTACTTTATTACCTCTTTTGTAAAATAAATTTTTCCATGTTATTTTTTTAAAAAGTTTTACTTTGGGCCAGCCCCATGGCTTAGCGGTTAAGTGCACGCGCTCCGCTACTGGCAGGCTGGGTTCGGATCCGGGCGCGCACCGATGCACGGCTTGTCTGGCCATGCTGAGGCTGCGTCCCACATACAGCAACTAGAAGGATGTGCAGCTGTGACCATACAACTATCTACTGGGGCTTTGGGGGGAGAAAAAAGGAGGATTGGCAATAGATGTTAGCTCAGAGCCGGTCTTCCTCAGCAGAAAAAGAGGATTAGCACAGATGTTAGCTCAGGGCTGATCTTCCTCACCAAAAAAAAAAAAAAAAAAAGGTTTTACTTTAGAATTATGGATTAGTTGTTGTTTTTAAAAAATATGGCATTTTCAAAAAAAAAATTTTGATAATTTTGGTTACCCAAAGAGCTACATAAGAAATGTAACTTCAAATTTTATAGGTTGATATGAGTGTATTTTTGAAGTTTTTGTTACTTCATACAAATACAAACTAATTTGTATTATAGTTTAACACCTGCCATGATAGATATCTGTCAACCTGAAAATTCCTGTCACTGAGCACCATTCATTCAGTATTGCTTTGATACCTTTGTGTTTCTTCTAATGAAGTCCTTGTAACAAGAAACCCTGTGAGAGTAGTATAATAAAAAGTCTAATAATCAGAAGTGTACTTAAAATGGAACATGTTGGAAAACCCCAATGTTTCTTATTACGCCATCGTGCCGCCAGTGTTCCATTGGCTAGCCAAAAGTTTCCAACTTGGAGGCTGAAAAACATTCAAATAAAAATGTAAATTAGATTGAATGTTCTCAATGTCAATGGTTTTATACCCACACTAACAAACTGTTAGAAATTGTACTTGGGACTTGTTGCAAGGTCAGATAGATTGTTATAAACTTTTAAAAATGATCATCTCTCTATGTGAATATGTGTATTACATATAAAAATGAATTTTTCAGGGAATGTGCACTTTAAAAGTACTAATTTTTGTATTGACCAACTAGTCTGTGCTTCCTTGGAATGCTTATTCTTTGGTAAAAATATGGTCATTGATGATGATAATTAGTTTTTTAAATATCTATTTCTGCATCACTGCAATATTTTCTTCACTTTTGTGTTCCTTATTCCTCTCATGTGGGCTCCTGGCCCAGTTGCCTGTTATACAGTCTCTGCCTTGGTTTTGTGTATTCTGATAATTTATAAACACAAATGTTTACAGTGAAGTTCTTCCCCTTGAAATTGACCTTAGTCTTTTTTTTTTTTCCTGAAAGTTGGTTGGCCATGCTCACAAATGACTAACTTTTTATAACGCACATTTATTTCTTGCTATTAGTAGAATTAGATTACTTGGTAAGATGACTGCCCAGTGTAACTATGTATACCTTTTTCAAATATATTGAGTCAAATAAAGATTTCTGATCTTCAGTCTGCTATTACCAAACCAGGTTCGTTTTTGCCCGTCGCCCAGAAAGCCAAACACTGAGACAAGATTGCAGCAGAGAGAGGGTTTAATCAAAAGGCAGCCAAGTGAGGAAAATGGGAAAACAAGTCTCACATCCGCCTCCCTGATAATGGGGACTCAGGGATATTTATGGGGTAGAGGGCAAGGTGATCTGAAATGTGGAGATAGATGATTGGAGGTGAGGAGAGGTGAGGTAATTGATGATCTGCGCAAGCGTAGTCAGACTTCGTGCCTCTTCATAGGACGCATGTTCACAAAATGGTGACATCAGGATGACCTGAGGGTGGAGTTTTTAGTTTCTTGACATCAAAAGGTTGCTTATGGGACATCTGCGTGGGCCCATTTGATGGGTTGGTGGTCTCAACAGGCCTGAAGTGGACAGGGGGTTCTAATTCCTGAAAAACAGCTCAAACACCCATTGCCATGGTGACCCAGGCTCCAGGGAGACGTTATCTATAGGAACCTAGTGGGAGTCAGATAGCATATTGCCTAAGCAGCACAGTTAACAGTGGGTGGGTAAACTGCTAAAAGCTGTAACCAGTAATTGCAAAAAAGAAAAGACTTTAGTTCCTAGCTACTTAATCATCAGTGGCCGTTTGCCGGTTTCACTGCCTGTGTTTTTAGTTATTGGATAAAACTAGAACCACTTGCAGTAAGTCTTCCCTCACCTATCTAAACTCTACCCTCTTTGGGGCCTAACTAAATGTGGATAACTAACAGATTACCCAAGGTCCTGATTTTTCAGTCAAACCCAGCAGCATTCCAGCCCAGCATGATCATTGCTGACTAAAAGCTTGAGTGGTAATACTTAGTAAATTCTTAAGTACCCAGACTGTGCCTCTCAACTTCAGAAAACTTCAAATGGCTTATTTTCTCAGTAAGTAATGAGCATATTTTAGGAGAAGGGCTAGGAGAGCCTTTTCTACTTGCAGAATCAATATTGGCAGAGGTAATTAATTCACCTCTGATATGGAGAGTTCAGCCTTT